AATATATACTAATACACAGCTAGTTAAATTTAAAAGAAGCCCCCGGTGGCCCATGGATAAGCTTAAGAGCTTATAATGCTAAAATACTAGGTTCGATCTCTACGATGGACAATATTTTGGTTTTGGGCTAACACCAAACATTTTTAATATTGTGTGAGGGGAACGATTATACCGTATCGGATACACTTTACTGGGGTCAATCTTTAATAATTCTTTGATTTTTTTCCATGTGATTCCTACAGTTGTGCAATACTCTCGCGATCAAAGTGCAAAAAAGAAAAGAAAAAAATAGTTCTGTATAGAAACAATAGGCTTCGTAATACTTGAGCATTACACTCAGCACGATATTGTAACATAAGTTAACGTCAGATTAACAAGTTAACAGCAGTCAAATTAATTCGTATCGCTAAAACACCAACGCCTTAACTGAGCCAGCTAAACGGGTGATTAGTAGCTCCCTCTGGTGTCTAACGGTTCAGCTCACAATTTCGACAATGTGTTTGGAATACAAGTCCTATGCATTGTTAAAACTGTCAAATTTATAATTTAAATGAGTACCCCCCTACCCTACCCCCGGTGGCACAGCGTTAAATCTGTAGGCTTACAACGCCAAAAAAAATCGGGGTTCAATAGCCGTAATGGGCAGAGTACAGATAGCGAGCGCTTTGAGCTTAACAACAAAATCACAAAAATATATGACTGGAATTACTGCCAACTATTTCCTGGTGGCATATTTCCGAATTTCCGTACTGTTATTTGAAGTTTATTTTAAACGATATGTCAAAAACTTGGTGTCTTTTATTAAGACCCTACGTTAGCTTCAGGGCAGCCTGGGCAATTGCCCGGGGCTTCGACGTTATACAAAAGCCCACCGAAGGATCAATAAGTATGTAACTAGATTCTTTTTTGATGTACTAACCATCGGCAGGCCATAATGATTTTTCAGCGTCTTTAGTGTCATTTTCTTCCTGTTAGAAACCTTTGTCCTTCGCTTTGCTTCCTTTGGTTGGGGAAGAAGAATCTGGTGTAATTTGATTGGACGATAACCTGGGTGAATGTAGCGAATTTATCACAGGACAAGAACTATATCTCCGGTCACAGATACCACGGGACAAGAACTATATCTCCGGTCACAGATACCACGGGACAAGAACTATGTCTCCGGTCACAGATATCACGGGACAAGAACTATGTCTCCGGTCAAAGATATCACGGGACAAGAACTATGTCTCCGGTCAAAGATATCACGGGACAAGAACTATGTCTCCGGTCAAAGATATCACGGGACAAGAACTATGTCTCCGGTCAAAGATATCACGGGACAAGAACTATGTCTCCGGTCACAGATATCACGGGACAAGAACTATGTCTCCGGTCACAGACACCACAGAGCAAAAACTATGTCTCCGGTCACAGATATC